CCTAAATGAGTTGCCCTGACATTCGAATCAAAGTTTAATAAAATGTGCCAGACCCCTAAGTGGTCACCTTAACATTAAAAAAAAATATATATTTATAGACTATAATTTTGCTTTAATATTTGCATAAATAATTATAATACTGCAAATACTTACTCTAACTCGAAGATTTTAATTTAATTCTAATAATATTTGGTATTAATATTTTAATCTAATACAAATTTTAAACATTAATTTATAATATAAAATTCAGAATACTTATATAATATATGTACTTAATTTATAAACTGGTAATTATCTACATTAAATTAATTATGCATTAATATTATATGATTATATATCTAATTATAAGTAATCTCAAGATTTTTTATTGTTAAAACAAAAAAATTAGATATATTAATTTGATTCTTTGTTAATTATCTGCTATTAATATTGAATTAAATAATTAATAACTAATCTTTAGTAAAATAAAACCTTCATAATATTTATAATTTTATAGTTAATATATTTTGTTTGCAAATCTTGAATATAAAAAAACTATTATTTTGATATATTTATTTATTAATCTATATTTACATAATAATTAACTATCACTATTAAATTTTACACCCACAATTTATTTATATACATATTTAATATATAGCTTTAATTTATTTTTATTTAAGAATTTTACTAAAACACATCTATGATGTTTTATATCTATATATTGTTATCCTATATCAATTTCTTTAAAGATAATAGGTAACTAAAGTGACTGTAGCTATTAAATACTTTGTGTAACCTAACTTGTTACTGTATTTTAGCTAAATCAGTATGATATTTTTACAAAATTTAACAAAGAAGATTTAAGGCAATTTGCAATTATGAAAGAAGCAAAAATTAAAAGTATATAAAGATATTAATAACTATTTAAAATTTGGTATATAAAATATATTTTATTGTTGAAAGTGTATGAAAACACAATATTGAACTTAAGGTCTACATTTGCTGCTTTTATACTTTTCAATTTTTTAGAAATGTAATGGTCTATATCTAGTATCTATGCTACAAATTTTACAAATAGTACTAATAAAATATATAATATATATAATACAGATACTATATATAATATAAATAATATATATAATATATAAAATAAGTAATATAAATGCTATAAATATGATATGTAATAGATATGCTACATGTAAAGCATTTCACGCAGTAGATCATCAGCCAATCAGATTATGACATATGTGATTTATATATAAATCACTTGGTCAAATTATATTTCAATAATATCTTAGCTTTTTGTAATTAGATTTGGATAATCTCACCACTTTTAGATTTGTCTCGATGAGCTGATTCAAATGATGGTAGTTTCATCTGATTGGACTGGTGGTTGTGAAGATGTTCTTCAAAACAGTCTTTTTCCTAATGTTATTAACAATATATATTATTTCAAAAACTGGCTAATTAATTAGTATAAGAATTCATAGTAAAAATGTTCTATGCTCTCAAAACCCTTTCCAAACCTTAATTCTAATCTTAATATTAACTTTAAAAAATTGGTATTAAAAATTGAAAAAATCTAAACAGTGCACTATGCACTTTGTGCACCTTATAGCAAAATTGAGCCGGCAATAGATATTAGGTTAGGTTAAGGTTAGAATTAAAGTTAGGTTTAGAGTTAGGGTAAGGTAAAATTGCGAGAGGAACATTTTTACTTATGTTATATGACAGGGTTACCTAGTCAAAATTTTGAGAAATTAGCGATTTTATAGAAATTTTATAGGAAGGTGCACTGTATAGTGTTGTCCTAAAAATTTTATATAAAAACTTATAAAAACTTAGAAAAATTTAAAAAATATAATAAAATATATAATAGGTGCAAAACTACTATAGATGCATTTTATAATAATTGTTAAAAAATTGCATTCAAACTATAATAGTGTTTAATTAGGAATTATACAAAAATAATAATATAGTATCAAACAATAATACAGTTTTAAATCAAAGGCAATTCAAAAATAATAATTCTGTATTTAAAATATAATATTGTTTTTAATTAAGAACTATATAAAACAATGGCTTTGCATCTAAACAGTAGTTTTATATGTAAACAATAGCTTCATACCCAAACAATGGTTTTACATCTTAATGATAATAAGTTTTAATCAAAAATTTTTCTAAAATAAATTTAAATAAAACAATAATATAACCTTTAAGATTTTATCCCTTATTGAAGGTTTTATTCTTGATAAAGGGCTTTAACTTTTATTAGAAATTTCACCATCTATAAGAAATTTTCTTTATAGAGGTTTTACAGGTTTTACAGGTTTTGCAAATTTTACAGATTTCACAGGTTTTGTCAGTTTTGCCAGAAGTTTTGTTATTTGAGAGGATAGGTTTTATCTTTTGTCATTTTGCAAAAAGGGTTTTCTAACAACATTAATCACCCTCTTTTACCTGATTTAAAAGTTGATACAAGACAATTGAATCATATTTCATTAGATAAACATCAAACACAACTGCTACCATCATCTCTAAACACCTCAAAATGGGATTCGTTACTCCAAATAATGGTATCCTATTTCAAAGCCCAGTTTAAATATTTCATTGTCTAGTCACAATAAACCTTCCAATTCGGTTCACTAATGAATAGTTTTCTCTTGCCGACACGAATTTGAAAAGGTTGATTACAAGAATTTATTTTGCAAAGCATTCAAACTAATCTTATGATCATTTTTCACAATATGAACTAAGTGACATTTATTATAATTATTTAATATGGATGGCCTTCCACTCCAAGCAGGAGATTTTATTTCACCAGCTTGTTTAAAAAGTTAATTATAACTTGAAATGTGGTTTTTGCAAAGTTTTATAATAATTGAAACTGGAGAACTACATCTCCAAACACTGACTACTATATCTGACTTCATTCACTTTTAAATAATTCTTTATGTTTTTACAACATTGAGAAAAACTACTACAAATACAATTTTAAAGTATATTTAAATTTTTAAAAATTATAAATCTTGAACTATCTAACCATATAAGTATTCACAATGGATCCTTTAACAAGTATGTACAAATGTATTTTCAACAAATCCTTTCTCTTGTGATCATCACCAAAAATGATTGTTGTGGTGACTTTTGTTAGGAAGTGTATATGAGTGCCGTACAAAAAATGCGTGACAAAAGATTAAGACAAAATTATACAAACTTTTACTAATGAAACTGCTGCCTCTGAAGTGAAAAAAAAACTTAAGCCATTTTAGGCCACGCAAAGTTAATTTTTCGTTTTGCATAACCTGGTGTTTCAAAATTCCGGTCGGCGGGTCGGATTTTTTTTT